GAATCATTTCCATGACTTTGAGGCGTTTTGAAATGGCTTGTTGAGTCACTCCCAATGATCGTGCCAATTCTTTTTGATTTTGACACGAGTCTTGATCAATGCCTCCAATTCTGCATCTTCGAAAAACTTCTCTCTTCCACCACTATGCCAGTCTTCGAAGCCAAAATCATCGTTCTTGAAGCGTTGAAACCATTCACGACACGTTCTTTCTCTAATAGTGGCCTCACCATAAGTATTTGAGAACATTCGATGAGCCTCAGCTGCAGATTTCTTCATATTAGCAGAAAATTAAAACCTCCCGCAAATGATGAGAATTTGGCTCGTAAACTGACATTTTCAATCGAAAATAACTTTGTGATGCAGACACAAATCGACTAATGTTTCTATGGCGTTATGTTGACAGATGCCCAAGTTTATGTATGACGTCTATGATCTATTTATTTCGACCACCACTTACCTCTAAAGCCATCTATAGGAAAACGACGGAAGCAAAGTTGTATACCTAATATATATATATATGTTTATATATAATAAATAAGACGATCATTGCCACGACCAGATTCCAGGTGGACTTAAGCAATAATTAAAAATGTTAAGAAGGCCTCATTCACTTCAAATTTTAAAATAATAAAAATACATTGAATCAATGCATTTTCGCATAAAAATAAATATTTGATAATGAAAAAATGTCTGTTCCGCGAATCGAGATATTAAACATTAAAGTTGACAACTGTTAAAAAGCAATAAACCTAAAAGTACAGACAACAGAGGAGGCAAAACTGGAAACGCATCGAAACACGAGTGCATTTTCAAATGTGAAGTGTAAAACTGAAATTGTATGTATGTACATGTAACAATGGGTGTGTTCAGAATACAATCGTTTTATGAATGTCTGCTCAAATAAGACTATTCTTCTAGATCTTAAAATATAATTTAATCAGCGCGAAGAAAACTTCCAACAATTGCAAAGTAAATATTCTGCTGAACGCAGAGAAAGAAAGCTAATGATTTTATAATGAATAAATTAAATAAGGATAACAAGAGAGGTAAATATGCAAATAGAATGAAGTGAAATTTGTTTAAAAATAAATAGTATGAAAATGAATGAGCTTAAAAATAAAATTTCATAAGTATTAACTACCTTTTTAGGGTTATATTTAATTTTTTGTTAGGTATGTGTTATTATAGTGTATGTACAATTTGACAATTTAAATCCAAAACATCAGTGATGACAGAATTGCATAATAATATAAAGTAATAAATCAATATACAATTACGTTTTCTCTCATCTTTATTTTTGTATTCCCTCTTCTTCGTTTTCATACGTCGGTGTTTTGAAGAAATCAATATGGATAAAATTAAACAAAGAAATTATATGCATAAGTAAATACACACACGCATGCACGCACGTACAAAATCAATGATGAATCATAAAAATCAATCAATGAATTATAAAAAGGGAAATTAATAAAATAATTTATCTTGAATGCATAAATTAATTATCAAGGTATTATATTTCACGGAAATATCACAGAAAAAATCAAAATAGAAATTATGATCATATGACAAATAAAAACAAGTGACACATATCAAATAAACAGGGTGTTAAAAAGATAAAAGTTAAGTTAAAAAGTTAACAAATTAATTAATTTTAACTTTACTTACATTACTTACATAACTTTACTTAGTTACATTTTCGACTCTTAACTTTTTAACTTTATTTAGTTACATTTCATTCATAACTATTAATTTTTTATTTAATTCTTTGAAGTTAAGTCTTAGACATAATATAATATACGGCAATAGCGATAACTTAAAATGAAGTGGAAATTGCAAAAGTGAGCAAATTTACTAGGTGTTGACCAATGAAATTATAAATATTTTAGAGAATAAAACTTTTATTTTCACCTCATTTCAAATTACACAATCGACTCCCCGATTGCAATCTGTCAGAAACCATGTATTTCAACGTATCTAGTTTCTGATAAGTTGAAATCTATTATTCCTTATTACTATTGCTACTCCCTCGTATTGTGTCTGAAGTTTTAATATATAAGCCATATTATAAGCCAGTATTCATAGTTGAATCTTATATATTAAACAGTATATATAAACAAAACATATAAATAAAATATAGAATATTTTCTAAATGATTATATATTAGTCATTTCCATTATTTGTAAGATTGAAACCCTGGAACCCATAAATTAAAAAAAAAATAAATAAATTTAACTTTTCAATTACTTTTTTTTATTAATTTAACTTTTAATTCAATTAATTTTATTAAAAATTAATTTGTATCTTAAGTTAAATTTTCAAGGTTGTTAACTTTAACTTAATTTAGTTAAAAAAAAAGTAACTTACCCAACTCTGCAAATAAAATGCAAATATTAACTTAAATTAACATAATTATTAGTTAAATCCAATTAACTTATTGCAATTACAATAAGCAAATATTAACATAAGTTATTAATTTAAAATGATGAATAAACAAAAAATAATTTAAAATGATAAATAAATAAAAAAGAATAAACTCTAATAATATTCTTTGATTATTATACATAAGTAAGTCATTTAACATTTAGGTGCATAGCCATACTTTTACTAACAAAATTGGATCTGTTTGCAGATTATCACAGAAAGCGTTTTCAAATGAAATGTACAATATTTTTTAATTATTTTATTTTTCAGAATCATGGCAATTTGGCAGCAAAATGAAACGAATGAACAGGTTTTGGAATTTCTCATAAAAATTCGCATAAAAATTTTGTGATATTGTCTTGAATTGAAAGAACTTCCAAATTTTGTTTAATCATTGATTCCATGCTTTTAAAAAACTGAAACCTTGAAGAATTGACATAAAATAATGTCTCCTCTGTGATACATTTAATATGCGTAAGTACATCAAATGTGCGCTTGGCGCGTCTTTAATCCCGCGGCAACAATACATTCGTGGCATCAAAATGTACTTGGAATAATATACATCGTTTAATAATTTATTTAAATTAAAAAAATCATAAAAGCAAATTCTTACTAATTTCACATAACAATTCCGAATTAGACGAAGTCCAGTCTTATCATTCTGTGTTTTTAGCGCAAATTTTTCTTCTTTCTGAGATTCGTGGAAAACGACACATTTTATAACTTTTTTGGCATAGTTGTGCAATCTGCTACACACCCGCAGACATTGCTCTAATGTGTCAAAAAACAAATAGGTTAAGTTATAATGAATACACAAGAAATATTGACGTTTTTTCTTTCATTAAAAGAATATATAATTTTACTGCAATCCACTTGCCACTCACCTCTCCTTCTTCTCAATCTAAATGACTTCTCGCCAAATAAAATGACCAATATACAAACCACTCACTTTTGACGATTTTGACGTATACAAAACTCGCTGGAAACAGTATAAATGGTATACGTACACTGATAGTACATACGGATATGCAACTTCCGCTTTTGCCTCAATTTAGCGGACCAATCATTGATCATTACTCTATTGTCCGTACTCTTATTATAGATACTCTACCCAGCATTATAAACATGCTGGATTATATACTTTCGTATATACCTAGGTTTGACAGAACAATACGAGAGGCAAAGTCAGAATGCGCGCGCAGAAAAGAATAGATTGTCCCTTATCGCGATAGTAGGGCGGACGCGCGCATTTGACTATCTTTATCAATCAGGGCTCAGCACGATTTGCACTTTTCGGTCAATTTTGGACTCGGTTCCGCCTTCCGCTACTCTTCTCACCTCATCACCCCCACAGTTCAAACGCCGCTCGACGCTTAGCGTATAACGCTTGTAGACATGAGGTTTATCCGCTTTAGGCACTCATACTGTAAATATCATTGTCTTTTTTTTCGTTTATTACATAACTGAATAAAGCAACGCATAAGATTGAGCGCTTACACGTTGATTCATTCTATCTTATGTAATGAACGAAAAAAGACAGAATGAAGTTTACAGCATGACCGCCCAAAGCTGGTGAATCTCATGTCTACGAGTTATACGTTTCTAAATATCGAACGATATTTGGACTGCGCGCTGAGTAATGAAATGAGAAGAGTAGCGAAAGGTAGAGCTGAATCGAAAATCGGCCCAGAAGTACCAATTGTGCCAAATCCTGCTTTAAACATTAATATCTTGTTAACGGGGCGATAACTATAGCCTCTCAAAATAAAAGTTATTTTTGAAAGCATTTTTAATAAAGAACACAGGAAAAATAATAAAAATGTCTATAATCAATATTTAATTTGATAATCATAATTCAATTTTGTAATAATGCACGTATTGTTACTGTATGCTATTACAGTGGCCTTTGACCACACATAAGGGCGCGATGCGTCCGCAAATGCACGTTAAAATAAGTATCGTGACCATCGGAGACCGTCCGAATACCGCCGACCGATATCCCTCCTGCTCGTATTGCGATCGGCAGGAATTATTGAACACTGCCGGAACAATACGAGCAGGAGCAACAATTAGAATATGAATGCAAAATATATATTAATATGAGTCCGTCCCGCTCCTGATTCGATCTTCTCCGAGCCAATCTAGTAGCGAGCAAAGGTGGTAGACCGTACTTTGTCACTGTCGAGAGTTTTTGACAGCGACTGATCAGTTTCCTTCATGAGACCACTGCATCGACTCGCTGTGAACGGTAAGCGCCGCCGGCAATATGTAACAGTTTCCGTCTTAGGTAACTCTTGAACGATATGGACACAGACATTACGATTATCGGTAAGAAAGACTGGATTCTCATTAGATCGCCAAAACTTGTCTCGAGTGACACTGTCGAACACACCGGCGATAGTGAATTTGACATTATTAGCATTTTATTGCACGTATTGAGCCCTCGATCACACAGGTGACATCGACGTTGACGTCGCTTCATGAGACGATGTAAATCTATTCGGACTAAGTGCCATAGATAGTCTCAATCTATAGTTCGTGCCGTTAGTAACAAATCATTTCCGTATCTTGCACACAAAATGCTTGTGCATCGTTAATATCTGAGAGCGTACTCGTTATCTATTGCGAATCTATCGTGTAAACAATCGCGCACTCTTCAAATGCGGTTAATCGCAAAATCGCGCTAGAGCATGACGATATCTCGAAAATGTCCTCCATTATTTTCCGAAACTTTCCGCCGAAGAATTAGTGCTGTAATTTCAAAGCAAAATTCGACCTTGCAAGGGATGCTCGCCCTGTGCAAATACTACGTCGCTAGATTTCGTTCGTCTATTCGACGAAGAACTGTCGCGTCTTGTCTCGAACGGTATCATCGAACGCGTAGAAATCCTCAAATTGGTCATCACGTATCGTCATCGCTAAGAAAAAGAATGGCAAACATCGCCTGTAAGTCGATTTTTCAACGGGAGTTAATAACGCAATTTTGGACAACAAACATCCATTGCCTACAGTGGAAAATATCATGTCAAAATGTCACTGGATGGTGATTGTTTTTTTAGCTTACTAGATATCAGTGACGCTTTCTTTCAACTGTAGATTGACGAGGCTTATCGTGACATTACAATTATTACAACGCCAAAAGGGCTCTTCAGATTTAAGTGTCTATCCTTCGGACTTAAAACGACTCCAGCTATTTTCCAGCAGGCTATGGATTTCACACTCTCTGATCTTTCTGAAGTGTACGAGTATGCATAGACGAAATCATAGTCTTAGGCTCCTCAGCAGAAATATGATATTCACTTGCACCATTCTACAACAGAAGATCGAGATTGAAGACAGAAAGCTGAGAAATATCATTTCACTTTGAACGAAATCAAATATTTAGAATGTATTATAAACTCTCAAGGCATTTCAGCTGATTCAGAGCCGTAGCCAACATGCCAAAACCCACTTCCGTCTTAGAAGTGTTTTTAGGTATGAATCATTACGGAAAATTCATTCCTCATTTACATCAATTAAAGCATCCGTTAGAAGATCTCACTCGCAAAAATCGTCTTTGGGTTTGAAACCAACCTTACGACCCAGCATTCGAACAAAAAAGAAGGTTATGCTGAGTTCTTTCCAATTGGAACATTGCGATCTTTCGAAAATCTTAGTAGTAGTAGCTGACGCTTGCGCTACTGGAATCGGCGCCGTTCTCCTGCAATGCGATTCCAATGGTCAAGAACATGCAGTCTTCCACATGTCTCAAAGTCTCACTGACGCTAAACGGAATTATTCTCAACTGGAGAAAGAGGCTCTCGCAGCTGTTGAGCGATAAATTTATCTGGGGAAGAAGATTTATACTTCAAACAGACCACAAACCAGTTCACAAACCTCTCATGGCGTTATTGCAGACAATACTCAAACCAATGACTGCAGCTCGGTTCAAACGATGGGCAATATAATTACTGGATTACGACTTCAGGATTGAATACATACATATTCAGGATTTTAGTTAAGCAGACACATTCTCTCACTTAATTGATAATTTCCGTCGCAATAATGCCAAAGAACTTCATGTAGCTCACATCCGCGATGTCGAATCAGAGCTCCTCCAAATAAAAAATCTGTCAATAGATTTTTTCAGCAAAAAACCTCGAGACAAATTGAAATTAATAACCAAGAATGCCCATTTGCTCTGTCTTTCAAGGTTGAAAAACAAAAGTAAGATTTAGAACCCCCTTCAAGAGATGTGCAGAAGACTTGAGTATCATCGACAATACACTATTACTTGGCGACAAAGTTGTCATCCCTGAGAAACTCAGACCGACGATCTTAGCCACTCTTCAAAAAGGTTACTCTGGAATACGTAGATTCAATTCGCCCGTGAATACATATACTGATCAAAAATGACGGAAGATATCGAATATCTTATACACCAGTGCGATCCATGCACTTTGAATTAGAAACTTCCAGTGAAGGTACCATAGAATCCGTGGTTTACTCCAACACACCCTGTGCGTGTGCATGCGTGCGTGCATACGTGTGTGTGTGTGTGTGTGTGTGTGTGTGTGTATGTGTGTGTGTGTGGAACGTATACATCTAGACTAGGCTGGTCCAGTCAACGATCAATATCTATTTATTTTCGTGGATGCGTTTTCCAAATTTATCGATGTTGTTATCACTACCACTATATCGGCTAACTGTATTGTCGAATCTTTGTCGAGAAATTTTTTACAGGTACTGACTCTAGATGTACTTCACGGAACATAGTTCACCTCAGAAGTGAAACCTTCGCCGCTCTTTACAAGGAGATGCAGATCTCCCATTTATTATCCCAGTCAACCATCCACAATCTAATGGTCAGGCTGAAAGAATGGTGAATACTTTAAAAAGAGCAATCGCTAAGGATCTATCCAACTGGAAGCAATAATTGTACGATTTTCTTTACTATCGTTACAATCTCCTTGCTCAAATGCCTTCGGGGATAAAACTCCAGCTGATCTCATTTTTGGATGCCGTATGAATTCCCCGTTCATCAAATGGCTTCCGAAACCTAACACATCGAATCCAGCTTCAACTAAGCAATAAGACATGACAAGGCAATTTTCGAAGTATCATGGTGCCCAACCATGCCACTTAGTGGTAGGAGACCGAATGATGGTACTAAACCGTAAAGACAAAAGAAAACAAGGTATTATTATCAAGGTCACTTTAAACATCAATTATTCGATATGCCTCGATGACGGCAAAATTATCGATTGTCATATTAATCATATCTGGAAAGGGAGTTCCCTCCTTTAAGTGTCCCCTACGAATAAAGATGATGGCTGGACATTCTATCAGCCACAGACTTTTCAGAGAGACACCCCACTCGCTCTGGAAACGGATCACCAGTCAGAAGCCCCTCTCATAGTTCCAACTATAGTCGAAAAAGTTTAGAACTTCCGACAAACCAATCGATTCCGAGCAGGTCTGTCCGAAACCGAATGGCTAGCAGAAGACATGTACTGGACTCGTCTGTCAAAAGTTATTCTTAATGGTGACTTTCTTGAGGAGGAAGATATTAGATACCTCGGCCTCTCGGCATACAGACGCGACGGGCTGATGACAGTGCAGTTAATTCGCGTCCGATTACTGTACTGACGTGGTGTTCTCAATTATTAAACGTTTCATTCAGTACTAAACCAATATCACATTGTTTTGTGCTTGCCGTCTTCTTTCTCATATCACATCCCCAAAAATATATAATAATTCAGCAATGATTTTAATTTAGGAATTAATAATATTTTAAAAATAATATACAAATAGCCAAACATTCCTAATTATCGAATCAATATTAAAATTAATATTGAGTAGCTATTAAACACTTATTGAACTAGTGGGCTTATGAAAGCCACAAAAATTCAAACTCTTAAAAGTGCACTTAAATAAAACAATATTTGTATCATTTTTTAAAAATAATTAAAGTATAATACATATTTTAAAATTTAATAAATATATTTAGTAAATTTTTATTAGTTTTTAAGAAATGATCCATGGTGCTCTATAAGAGTACACACTTAAAATAGTAGGATTATGCAAGAAATAACGGTGATAAACGGTGACAGAGGTTGAATACAATAAAAGATAATTATAACTAATAATTATTAAATAATATAATAAAAAGCATAATATAATATTGAATCATTTAAAAAGTATCCGCGGTTTTTTCATTCAAAAATTGAACAAAAAACCGCGGATACTTTTTAAATGACCTAATATATTATAAGAAAACAAATAAGAAATAACCATTAATATAAGATAAAAAATATGTTACGATAAAATAAAATAAATTGTTTAGAAGTACAAACTGCCCTTTTAATACATATATTTTCTGTATTGTTCCGTTTCATCATGAATATTTAACATATGACTCATGGTACCCCAACTATTCATTTAATAGAACAATATAAAAAATAAATGTTAGATTATTACTTGTAAGTATTATTACTTGTAACATGGTAAGTTGAGAAAAGATACGCAGAAACTTGTATCTTATCTTTATACATGTATTTTCAACTACAAAAATAATATTAAAATTTTTAAAAAGTTACTTTTGCACTACAAAAACCATTAATAATCGATTCTTTTCGATACAATAAAATTTAATCACTGCCACCTAGATAAAAAGTATGGGCAACAAAATAACAATTGTATTGTACTCGTTACTCGTAGTATTAAACATTCTAGATTACGTTAAACAATTGATGACCCATGGTGTCTCGGTTTCTCCTATATATATATATATACTACTGAACAGTTATCATTATTGATAGATTATTAATTGCAAAGAAAGGGGAAGACTCGTTTCCACTCGCGATAAAGAAAAACAGGAACGTGCAGGTTTCGAAATTACATGACAAGCAGATGGGCGAAAAAATATTTCAGAATTGTGGAGGAAACGCAGAAAGAAATAGAGATTAGAATCATAATTTTTTATTATTTAATTTTTAATTCAATAATTTGATTAATTTATTTCAGGAAAAACTGTGAGCCTTACCGTATATAATTCTAAACCGCTGAGGCAAGGAAAAAAAGGAGAAAATAATAAAATAAATTGTAATAAAATAAATTGATAAATTAATATATTTAAGTATCGTAATATACAATTTTTCTTACAAAACATTAATTTATTTTTTATTTTAAAAATTATAATATTTACAATTTGCACATAGTGCAACAATTTTATCAGTAGCGTACATTAGTAATTTGCACTCTACGACTGAAGTTTCATCATAAACTTCACGCAATTTTTTTAATGCATCACATTTATACTTAATAGATTTTGGCGTATAATAATCATTGTTAAAATTTTTCACTAACTTTATGTACATTCTGCACTATCCAGTGACTCAATGTAATGTTTGAGATCAGCATAAACAATACGGTTGAAGGCTTCATGTATATAGAAGTATTGCGCTAATGTGAATTTTACTATATTTTCATTTCGTATTTTTACAATTTCCACAATAAGATCATGAATCTTCCACGGTGTAACCTGTGGTGTTGACTACACGAATTCTTCCATGTCCCCTATTGTATTATTGTCGACCACGTTGTATCCACCAAGGAAATATAATTGCCTCGATTGTTTCCAATACGTACTACTATGGTGGTATAAAATGATGCATTGATGTTAATTTTTAAATATTTACGATGTAGGTGTCAGTGCGAACTTCTGCCCCAAAATAAGTTGCGCATTGTGCATAGTTTCGAATAAGATGTTCTGTAAAAAGAATAATAAATAAACTGCAGAAAAATGTATAAAAATTTTATAAAAACTTTATAATTAACTTTTTATAGATGCATACTGTTCTTTTGCACGCTTTATTTTCTTGAACGTAGTAGTTTACTTTTTTATTGTAAATTTTCAAGACCTATCCGATTTCCTCTGAGCGATAACATCGTCTGGAGTCTTGTTTCAAACAGTGTTCTCTTCCACATCTTAAAAAATGGAAGAGATTTTTTCATATACATTATACTTCGAAGAACAGTCGCAACATGGTCAAAAGATACGAAATATTATTATAAGAATTCTGACGATATCAAACCTTTTTTTTATCTAAGGAATCGATGCAAACGACAATAAAGTCTGTCTGTTCCTATTATTTTTCCAAAAAATGAGTTTTTTAGGTAGTATATTCATGTATTTCTTTTTCATCTGAGAAATTCCAAGTTACCTAATATGATAAAAATGAGTTATCCTCCACTATTATTATTGAATACATATCAAATACTTTATTTAATTAAGTATACTACTGATCAGCTATCATATATTATTGATAGATTCTTAATAACAGGAAAAGAGGGAAGAAATTAAAATGTATTTAAAAAAAATCTCATACCTTATTTTTTAAACTTGATACATTTGTTTCTTGTAACCACCAGTTGTATATTTTAAACATTCTGTAACGCACAATTCTTAATATTTTTTCCATACCGCATTAGTAATATCCAGATTACGTAAAGAATTTATATCTTCGTAATCCGCATTCACAGGATCTCAATGGTTAAGTCATCGCTACCAAGTATATCAGCCAGCTATTACTTTTTAAATCTTTTAACGTATACGAGAGCCTGTCGTCATTTTCTTATCAATTACAGCCATTGCAATCAGGCGTTTCATTATGCTATACGGAATCATCCTGTCTCCCCATCGCAATCCATGGTGATAAGCACTTAGCCAGAAAGCGCAATCGAATTTTGTCAAGAAATTCTATGGCATGAGATATGTAAAAATGTAATGAAGGAATAGCTCCGTTTCTCAACATCGCCATTTCCTTCACGATAAATTTCCTTCCAACGATAAATCCTTGTACAAACAATCAAATTAAGCACACATTAAGAAAATGTGTTTTCCTTATATCATTGTGTTTAACGATATTTCAAAGAGATTTTTAATTGATTCCAAAGGTGACACAAATATCCCTTTGTTATTGAATATTATCACAACACAGGATGATACAACCCGCTATAACAACCGCTTATTGCTAGATTTATCCTGATCACTGACATATAAAGCTATATCGTCCGCGAACTGAACAATCTCCACATCAACTGGAATCCGTGATATTCGAGACATAAAGAGCATACAACAAAGGACTAAGAACTGCACTCTGAGGGAGACCTCTACGAACTATACGCTCAATAGTCTCGCTATCGTTTACGATAAACTGAACATCTATTTGCAATAATTATTTGCTTATAAACCTAATAATATTACTTGGATACATTACAAAGAAATTAACCGCTAATCATTGGAGAATAGGTAACGTTATCATATGCAGATGATACATTAAAAGGAAGCAGTAAGAGAATATTCTCCAGAGAAAAGAAGCCACTTTAACATCTGAGATAATCTTGACTAGGTTTTCTGCGTACTAATATTCTCCTTTAAAACCATTTGTTCGAATTGAATTTATCTTCGCATTTCGCCCATCATAACAACTGCTCATTCATAATCCGCTCTATAAGCTTGCCGACATACGATGATAACGAAATACCTTCTCTCTCCCTGCTTTAATTATCAATGAACATCATCTGGTATTCAACTGTTCCTGAGGTGTCCCCTCTAAACAATCTTATAAATGTCAAATAAATAAAAAAGAAACTTCTTCGGTAACAGTTTGATAATTCCCTATTCTCTACCATGAATCGTGTTTCTTCCAGTCATATTTAACGCTTCTTTTAATTTCTTGACTAAACAAACTTAACTTCTTAACTAAACAAACAATTCAGCGAAGATTCAACATCGATCATCACAAAATTGAGATTTGAAACAGCCCATCCGAAGAGAATTAAATGTCTTACTTAAAATCTTTTCTCTTTTCTTAAATTGCCACTTATTTCATTCGGATATATATCAATTCCCTGCTGCAAATTTATATGAAGAATTTTCTTATGGGTTTACCTAACTAGGGGTACCCATGATAAATTCGACAGTCCCCATGGGAGGAGGCTTCTATCTTGCTATAAATTTCCATGATTTTTTCATGAGTTCCTATGGAGGACTATATAAGGGGCTGCGTACAATGAAAGGAATAGGGAACAGGAAACAAGAATAAGAATTTCAACCTTATCAGAAATTGTGTATTCCACAATATATGATTTTTGGATCTGAAGTTCTTGTTCCCTGTTCCCTATTCCTTTCATTGTACGCAGTCCCTTATATAGTCCTCTATAGAAACTCATGAAAAAACCCATGGAAATTTATAGCAAGATAGGAACCTCTAAAATTCTGTAGGAGCTTGTATAATGTAAACAATTGATGACAACAGAGAAAAATATCAGGGCGCTCCTTGTCTCGAATTCAGGCCTGGTCTCTCCGAGTTGGTAAACTTCGGTTTTGCCACTGAGCCACATAGCTCTGACGCTGATAGCTTCTCTGTTGTTTATTTCCTCTAAATTTCTTACAATAGGTATCTATAGGATTTACGCATGTATATATAGGATAACATAAGAAATTTTTCTACAAGGTTTTACATAGGAATCTACGGCATCAGTCCATGAAAAGAGGCCCCTACAGAATCGCAAGATGGGAAAAAGAATAACGTGCACGTTGATGCAATCGGACCTAAATAATAAACAGGATGTCTTGATTTGGGACTATTTTCGTGTGCAGATAAAGTAGACTGAGTCGAAAAGTTCTGTATCATTTTGCAATTTTCAAAATAGTTTTTTTCTAAAAATCGTCGAATAAGCAAAATCGACGCATAAGACTTTATTTTTCAGAATTCTTTATGATATATTATATTGTTCTTTATGTTATTCTTTATGACATATTATATTTTAAAGATTTTTTTCAAAGAACTCTTAAAGAGTTCGAACAAAACTTGCTCGATTTACAAACGAATTTATTAGTTCGTTATTATTAATCACTACCGATTAATTAGCGACTGAGAATTAAAGCTAAGAAAAAAATTGCAATTAATAGTCAGAAGTTTTTATTCTTTTATAAATTGTATCTCGTATCAGTATGTTCACGTACGTATCACGAATTTATCCACACATTTGATTGATTTTTATAATCGAATCTATTGGCTCACTACTATTAATCACTGCCGATTAATCATTCGGTAACTGAGAATTAGTACTAAGAAGAAAACATTGCATGCAGTAATCACAAAATCAAATTCCATCACAATACGGTCACTGATTTATACAAGCACTTGAACACACTCGAGCACTTGATGATTAACTAAAATGAGGATTAATTTTATTACTAACCTTATTAATCACACAATAAAGTATTACCGATTAATTATTCGACAAGTTGAAATTATTTGCATGTTATACATCATATGTCACGCGACACGAAGGTTCGATGTAAACAAATCAATGAGTTAGATTGGTACTGAGTGCTTTCGTGTTTGTGATCACAACGCTGCGCTGTAAGCATCATTTATCCTTTTTATTTCTGCACTGTATGAATTGGTGTACACGGTGCACCAATAAATTGAAGTGAAACGTATGTTGAGATAATGCAAGAGTAAAGAGCAGATCACTTGTTTCATATTTGATAAACAAGGATAAAATGATGCTTACATCGTGTAAAAGAACACATCTGATAAACGCTGCCGAACGTATGATCTAAGCTGCAGGTTCGATTTACACGCTCAGACGCTATAAGCGCTCATGCTTATAAGCGTTGTTTTTTGGTATTCAATTTGGTTTGTCAGTGCTCATATTAAATAAGTAAAGTCATTCATTTTAGCTATTAATCGTTAAGCTTGAGTACATAATTGATAATTGACCGTAAGTAATTCGCTTCTAATATATTGAAAGTAAAAATTTACGAAATTTTAATAAATTTTAATATTTATTTAAAATAGTATCAATGAGACATTTGCTTATAGCGAATTAAAATTTATGTAATAAAAAGTAATACTTTGATTTAAATATTATTTCTTAAAATAAACATTTATTTACTGTAAGCAAATATGTCCCATTAGTATTATTTAAACAAATATTACAATTTTGTAAAATTTTTTCAATGTAATCTTTTTTTGTCTTATACCCTCTTGTTTCCTTCCACCGAAGATGTATTAAAGTCGTGGTACTTCATCGGGAGTTAAAGATATCGTGTATATATTCCCAGTCTGTGCATTTTCTAAATCAATTGGAACTTTATCTGTTAATGTCATCTTTGTTGAGTAAATTCTTTTTTCTATTTATTGATGAAAATTTAAACATCCAATTCCTTGTTGGTTAACAAAATCCTTTTTTTATTAGCACAAAATTGTGAAACGTTTCTAGATGTCGTATACAAGTATATTACTTACAAGTATATTATTTATTGAGAGCGTTAAAATATGCACGCAATCCAACACATCCGTTAAGCATTTTTCTAATCATAAAAAAACGTACATGAATCTAACCTACTAGAGTTAGGATCGAACACGTTTATTTTGGCCAATAAACGTTATTTGCACTCACGCTTTTGCTGCCCTCGATGAAGTAAGCATTTGTGAGCACTAGAGAGCCTATAATCAGAATGGCGCCATACGAGAGATGACATCATGTTTTTGCGAAATTCTGTGAGAGAGAAAGAAATATACGGTCTCAGTCTATCCAACAGACTGTCAGTTTTAGGGTTAGGTGCAACAGCATTGAACGACATAGATACGTAAAGATACATTGATAAAAATAAAAGTATCGAAATTATTTTAGAAATATGATTGGATGTACAATACCGTTTTGTAACAATTCATTAAAAAAAGGATATGTTATGAAAATAATTCCGAAAGACACAGAACGCCAAATGTGGTTAAAGAATATAAATGGCAAATATAAAAATTGGACACTATCAAAAAATTCATCTGTATGTGAGGTAAAGTAATTTATTCTTTATAAATAATATATTTAAAATATTAAAATAAAAATGTAACATAAAATATACACATATTAATTATAATATCTGAAGACACAATAGTGTCTTGGCACTAAGTATATGTATAGTTGGTTACGAGTTTAATTCTTTCTCTTTTTGTCGTAATTTTTTCAATTATATATCATTGCATTGAGTCTAAATCAAATAATATGATAATTACGATATTTAATATATAATATTTTATGAAATGGTATATACATATATAATATTTTTCTGAATTTTTGATTTCTTTTATATTATTACAGATGCATTTTGCTCCTAAAATGTAGGAGCAGAAAATGGATAAT